AAAGAAGCTTTTGGAGCTTAACGGCTCAAGGCTTTCCTTATTCAACCAAATAAAAGCCAATATATCCTGTAAATACCCTACTCACAGAATCACAGAAAGATGGAAACGGAGGGCGATACAGATATAAAAAAGGAACTGAGTTATTGGATGGAAGGAGAAATCAACAATTTCATAAAGGTATGGCTATCAATTTATGTTTCTTTATCCTACTGTTACCTTATAGCCAAGATTATTCCTAAAGGTTCTAGAAGACTCTTGGCTTTTATCCCTGTCGTCTTCCTTTTCCTCTTCCTCCCTTTAAAGCTCCACACCATTCACCTCGGCGGCCTCTCTGCCTTCTTCATCGCGTGGCTAGCTAATTTCAAGATACTCATGTTCGCCTTCAATGAAGGCCCTTTATCCGATCCTTCACTCTCCCTCCCAAGATTTCTCGCCATTGCTTGTCTACCAATTAAGCTTCAGAGCTCTCAAAATCTAAACAAGAACCAACTTTCTCAGACCGAAAAAGGCCATAAATCAGTTTTCAACTATGCTGTAAAGGGTTTTTTGTTGGCTTTGTTCATCAAGTTCTACGATTACAGTGATTACATACACCCAACGATTATGCTTGTTATATACAGTTTTCATATATACTTTTGCTTGGAGATTGCTTTGGCCATTGCTGCAGCCATGGCTCGGGCCCTTCTTGGAGCCGAGCTCGAGCCGCAGTTCAATGAGCCATACCTTTCGACCTCACTGCAAGACTTTTGGGGTCGTCGGTGGAACCTCATGGTAACCCGTATACTGCGACCTACAGTATACATGCCGGTACTCAGCTGGTCGACTAGCATTTTGGGCCGGAAATGGGCTCCACTCCCAGCTGTAATATCAACTTTTTTCGTGTCGGGCCTTATTCACGAGCTCATATTCTACTATTTGGGCCGCGTGAAGCCCACGTGGGAAATCACCTACTTTTTCTTGCTTCATGGCGTGTGTTTATCGGTTGAGATTGCGGTCAAAAAGTCAGTTAAAGGGCGGATACACATACCGAGGATCATTGCGTCAATCTCCACCGTTGGATTTGCGATGACCACAATCTTTTGGCTCTTTTTTCC